ATTCGTGATCATACCCCAGAATACACACAGATTAATCAACCACTTCTAAAACCGGTCATGATCACATGACAACTGATATTGAAACAATGTCAGTAAGCTTACAATAGGAAATCTCTCGCCGTCACATGACATCATGACATACCACGTGACCTGACACCACGTGATCTAGCCGTATAATTGACAAGTTCCTGGAACGAGGATTACTGTTTGAATATATCTGCGCTGGATTCCCCCGCGGCTACTCCATTTCCGTCCACATTTTAGTCTGACTTCTTTCTGTCTTGTTGCTGAGAAAAGTTACTAATACTATGTGTTGCGTAGCCACCTGACTTTTAAAAAAGTCGGCCATAATGAGCAGAAAGTTCCTTCCTATAAGTCCCTTCACGGGACTCATATGTTAAAACACCTGAATCACTCGCACTTAGAGCCTTAACCCCTCTTTATAAACTGCTACACTTCAAATAGGTCTTCTTACCCGCGGGAGAAAGACAGCCAGGTTGTTGGTGCGGTACGTGCTTACCTACTTACACTCTAGTTCAGAGGTTAGGGTGATTCCCTGCAACACTCTCATAGCTATCGAAATAGAAAGAGTCGACAACAATGCCAGGACTTCAGCGTAACTCCCAGATAGCACTACATCCAGTGAATATGCGGGGGATATTATATGTACATGCCGGCCTCAACTTTGAAAACTTGATATTTTCAGCACCTCGTGCTTTTGGTCCATATCTCAACAGGTCGTGGCGGGCAGGAATAGGAGAGCTAAGCGGCGACACTCCGCGCTTAAAGCAAGAAAGGTATTGTCACTATCTTAGTGGAGTTTGTATTGACAGTTTCAGTCAGTCTTAGTGCGCCACACTAGCAACCAAGTGGCAGTGGCACTGGCAGCCTGTGGCAGTGTGCAGCAGCCTGTGGCAGTGTGCGGTGTTTTAAAGTTAGTTCTTCCTCTTGTTCCACCTTTTTGAGTAGGGTCTCTTTTCCGTTTTTTTAATAATTTACTGTGCTCAAGTTTCTGATGTAGGCTATAGAACTTTCTATATAAGTAATTCTGGGGTGTACTAAACACTTTATTATCTCATTCCGCAGAAACTTCCTAATTTTCACCCTGCAGTAAAGCATTAGCAGTTTAAAAAACTTCAAAAATGCGGTACGTAGTCTCGGAGGGACTTGGGTGTTGCTAAAACGTATGGCTAAGCTGGTCATTTTAGTTTTATTTATAGCATTATTTGTTGCCATAACCTTTGTCTTACTAAATATTTGGACTATTTTCTTAATATTACCCGGCGTCAATTTTTGTTAAAACTCCAAGTACCCGCATACGACTCACGAGTTAACGTTACAGTATCAAACATGGTCAAAGATTTTGCTGGTAAGTTCAATCCATTATCCATTTATTAGTAATCTCTTCAAGTTTAAATTTTAAACTGCTCCCTTTACGATTAAGTTTTTCCTATCTTAAACTATTCGTGTAATTAGATTGACATCTTTAGTCCAATAAATGAACCCTCACCGCTAGCTCAGCATTGTTGTCATATTTTTGAGACGTGTGAATTTATGAAGCCCGTCAAGGGATCCCGTACTTTTAGTAACTCAGACTATCGTTAATAACTTCGTAATAGATTTTCTTGAATTTTGCCTTAACGTTTAAATTATAACAGTTTTGAGTTCAAACCGGAGGTTACCCGCTTGATGATTTCATTAATAGTTTAAATTCTTAATAGTTTAAATTATTAATAGTTTAAATTCTTGATAAACTCTACCAAGACAAAATGAAGTAAGGCTGCGTTACTTTCAAATGACTTAATTTCAAACGTTTAGCTTTCAGATTTTCGTCCTAGCTTGATCCTTATATTGAACGGAACTGATTTTAATCACTTTAACTGTTCGTAGCTCGCAAAGGTTATATCTATAGCTTTAGATCTATAAAAAGCATTTGAAATTGATTCTATTTGACTTAAAATAATCGGGGGTATGGTAGGTGGGGTACTTCGTACGTCATCAGCCCAGCAAACATTTGTTAAATAACAGTGTTGAAAGTTTCTAACTCTTTCACCGTCCAACTCCTATATTGGATAAAAGAGAAGTCGTGTTGGACGTAGACAGTGTCAATACCAGGCCATGGTCACTATAAGCTATAAAACTGTAGCACTGTTGTCAGGTTAACATGGCGTCTCATTGTGTTAATTAAAAATAGTAATTTAGATAGAGGGAGTTTAAGTTTTAGTTGGAACAAATACCAGCCGCCAATTACATATATATGATAAACTACAGTACTCAGCTCCACGAACACCATTTCCACGATATAAACTTCACTCTAAGTACTATAACTATTACCTCACTACAATAGGTATTACCTAATCTAAGTATTACCTAACACTTGGCACACACGCAGTGATTACCTTTAAAGTAATTGCTTAATTGTTTATTAATCCACAAACAGACACTCAACCATCCCACTACTACTAGTACTATACTATTACAATCCGTCAAGCAAATATTTATTGGCGTTATTTGATAATTGAATAACTTCATCGCTTTCCAGACTGCAGCTCACTTATTAACTAATGCATTAACTAATGCCAATACTGATCGTTATAAAGATATGGCCTGTCTCCGATCCAGCGATCCTATATTATGGCATCAACAGATAGAAGGGGGCACGAACTGATTAGAAATTAATCATGATGATTCTAGGAAATATATAAATTCTATCAGGATTTAACACTCATTCCTCTCAATCTATTGTTCTACAAGTACATTGTAACCAGCAGCCTTTTAAATCACTCCAACTAATGAACTTATACGGGTTTACCGTCTGAAAAGTCTTTTGATTTTTTCCGTCAAAATTTTAACGTTGATTTGATAGACAAGTAACCAGTAGCGACTAGCGGGAGAACCGGAGGACGTAATAAAAGAGGCCGGTACTAGCCACGCATTTTATGGGAGGGTAGCTGGTAAGAGTTACTAGTTTTCATAGTCCACAATCTTTTGTTATTCAATAATCTAATCAGATCTAGCCGTACTAGATCGGAATTAGGATGGTTTATCACTTTTTGTTGATATATTGAGTTGTATGTTAGTGTATTTCAAAACTATGTTGATCGTGCTGTAATATTATTTATATCTCTAATACCTATTTATTTATTCATATCTCTAATAACAAATATTCAGTAAAATCGATAGACTGGATGCTTTACTTTTTTTTGTCGTGTGATACTCTTTATTTATACACAATCCAGATTACAAATGTTTTATCCGAAGTTTAAGCCTAAATTTCATGCTCACGTGTAGAGTTCGGACCAGTAGTTAAGTCTGGAGTTCAATGACTTGTTAAAAAGTTTGCAATACAATTAAATTTATTCACGTTTTTACTGGCGCTTCGTTGTATAGATAATAAGAGTTAGATTTTTGCTTTTGAAGTTAGTACCGACGTTCAGGATTTAGCTTGGAACATTATGATTTCGTGTCAAATTCCTTAATTCGATGATCGCTTATGTCAACAGTTGTCGGTTTAGTTTTACATTTGTTAACGATTATGATTTTACCGCTTCCATTTGCGATAATTCGGAATATCTGTAGTTAGTTTAAGTTTTTTAGAGTTACTCGAGTCTCGATTGCTTCGCCTTATTGTCGTTACGTTAATTAAAAACAGTTGTTGATAGTTTAGACAATTTAAGTTATTGACGGAAAGTATGTAACGATTTTTCGATATCAAATAAGGCACATAATCTGGCAGTCGACTCACACTTTACCCAGCTTACAAAGTCTATTGCTCTGTCACGGAAATGTGGGGAGAAGTAAAGCGAATGCTTGCGGAGAAAATGGCGGGTAAACACAGACTGAGTTAAGCGTCATAATTCTGAGGAATCTGAATTATACACACATTATAAGCTTTCCTGACCCTGAATCCTACGTCCAGACCTTGTACAATATACAATGTACAATGTACAATTTACGATGTACAATTTAAAATGTGCGATGTACAATTAACAATGTACGATGTACGATTTACAATGTACTTATTGTACGATGTACAATTTACAATGTACGATGTACAATTTGCAATGTACGATGTAAAATGTACAATTTGCAATGTTCAATGTGATCAAAACCCAGAATCGTTGTCACGTTCCAAAAAATATGCCTCACCTCCCCACAAGAGTCTATACTGATACAGATATTTATAGTTAATACAAGATCGTATCTTCTTTGTACTTTTTTAATGTACGACTCACAATAAACGGTCAAGTGCTTTCGGGATGTTTTTTGCAGTCTATAATCCTCCGCAGCTGAAAATATGCACCACCCGAAACATTCTTTGCCAGAATTCGTGTTTATAATAAAAACAAATAGCGCCATTGGACCTTAAATACCGGGCCTTATATCGACAGATGTTAACTGAAAATAGTTAAAATTGTTTGTTCCGAATTTTATTAGTACCAGTAACGACTAGCCGTTGTTATTAGTTCTTTCCATTTATTAACAATACCGTCTTATTTACTAATTTTTCCGTGGAATGTGACTTCTGCATAAGAATTTTACTCATAAACTTTCATTTATTGAAATAAAATGAAAGTTTTAAAGCTGATTCATTAATTGTTTATGTCTATTGTCTATTGTTTTACATTTAGATTAAACACAATTCTCGATTACTTTTAATCACTTTATTATGTCGAGCATGAGACGTTATATTCTCGCGCCGACATAACAACGGCAATAAAAAGGCTGCTTTGACTCCAAACATAATATTTATCTCTCGTAAAATCTTGAAAATTCGTCTAATCATGGTTCATATTTAGCCGTCTAGCATGCAGAGCACCATTTAATGAATCTTAAACAATTCAAGGAATGAACATCGTCGAACATTTGTTTACTCGCTGCCAAGCAGACAAGATTATAAAACAAGAACGTTGAAAGCATTGCCGCAAGCATTAAAGCATTAAAGCATTTAAAGCATTAAACCAAGCAGTGGAGCCCTCATAGTTTTAATACTTTCAACACTACTATATAACAAATAATTTGAGGAAACGATGTAACAGAGTCGATATATTTTAATGTTGCCATGGGGTGGCAAGTCCCCATACATCGTGGTCCGGTAGTTTCATTGCGTCCTAATATATCGTTGTCCTGATTACATTTGCTAAGCGATCTGATTCTGATATCTAAATTCCAAGGATCACTACCGTCTACCTTGGGGTATGATAATTGCGGAGTCAACTTATCATCTTCCACCCTAGAAATATGTTCACACTCTAGCCAGGAATCACTTTGAACTTTTTTTTGCTGAATTGTGTCGAATTTACATACATCATCGGCTTATGCAGAAGTGTTATACCGTCCGGTGTCGCACTTATATACTCTTTGTCACGGCTTTTACATGAATACGATCCCGGTAAACCGCGTACCAGTACGGTAAACCGTGTATCAGACGGTAAATTATGAAGCTACATATCATTGCTCTTATTGAAATGAGCTACTGGTTTTCTGATTGGGACTCGTTTCTAATTAGGAATCATACTGCAAAGCACAATTTTGTGAGTGTACTCTAATTAGGGTATCAATTTATCATATGTGGTAATGAGTTTGTTACACCCTTAAAGGGGGCATTGATGAAATACTCTTGCAATTCGGTTACTGCGTTTACTATTCTATCGAGTCAACTGAGGTCATACTTGACTTGTTATTAATAATTTATTTTTTTACTCCATGACCGACTCGAATTTGGCTGGAACCTTACTGTTGGAACTTTTTTATCAGAATTAGCTAGAAAAAGTTTGTAGTTTGGTTGTTATTTATTGTTTATGTATTTTTTTAATTATAGTTGCCACAGAGAAAGGTAGTGCTACTTCTAGCTATTTCCAGAATATCAGATAACACGTGATAGCCACATCTGACAATCACGTGTCCCACTTAAGGGATCCCTGATTATACCTGTCTACTACTACTACTACTACTACTACTACTATGTCGGAGCTAAGTCCGATCTACGCCAGAGAACCCCTTCCATATATCCCTGTCCCGCATCAGGGTTCGCAGTTCCTCTTTAGAGTTTGTCCCAACTTCCTTCAGTAACATAGACAAGTAGCTTTGTCTTGGTCGGCCTTGCTGTGCTAATTATAACTGTCTGCTACTATAACCTGGTACCTGATATCCAGTCCTAACGTAACCTCAGCTACATTACCTCCTGGGTATAAGTGGGTATAAGTGGGTATATTACAGTGAATAGTAACAGTTTCCACGTATAACCTTCCATGAATACGATCATGTATTTTAACACACCCGAGTCGTATCTACACCCTAAAGGACGAATTAAGTGATATACCGGGTCAAAGTAATGTAATATTGTCTTATGACACAGCGTGATACTCCAAGTTGATCATTGCCCGGGCACCTTGTTTGTTAGTATCTCCTCCCTAAATGCGGCCCATTCCATATTGAGTGAAGGTTATTAGTAATATACAGACGTTTCCGGCCCCAGATAATATCACACTTGTTCACTGTACAGTGGGATACCTCATCACCCGACACTCAGCTTCATAGCCCCATTCCCATGTTCCAACGGTTCACTTTCTAGTTTCGCGCTTGTTCATACTCTGTTTTGTACGGCTAAGATATTGTTAAGATATGGTTAAAAGATATAGGATTTGAAAAACGAAGATGATTTTACCAACTTAGTGAATTTAGCAAGAGATAGAATTGGATGGAAGAGTTTGTTTATTTACGTTGAGACATATTGAACGAAGGAGTCTTCGAAAGCGTAAATAGGCCAGCACTTTGCTGAGCCTCTTCAGGTGCTCTCTTGTTTATAGATGTTATTATATATATCTAGATATTCGGTAATTGTTTGTGCACCATAGTCCTTGATGACGTCACATGATTATCTGACCATAAATTAACCTACTGTATTGCGTTTAAACTAGACATTATACCCTTAAGTGAAGCAAATGGTTATCCAGAATTCCAAGTTGCTGAAATACTACACGTAGATTATGTTTACTGTTGGACATATATTGAGCCTAATGTCTGACTTTAACAGTTTAACGAGAAATGAGGCGAAATAACGGCGGGTTTACCTGGAAATTGCAGCACTCATAGTGTTGTCTGGAGTGCAGAGTGCAGTACTTGTAGTTCAGTTCTCATGGTTCTGTCTGGACTGCAGCGTGCTGTACTTGTAGTTCTGGTCGAAGTAGAAGTGGTTAGTTCTAGTGTTGTCTGGATGGAAATGGCGTCTAATATTTCTAGGCGTACTTTTGTTGTAGGAGTCCAGGGGAAGGTCACAGATGTCAGCCTAATCTGAAATTACTTGCATTTAGTTATTTCGTTCTTCTTACTTTAGATTGAATTAATTTGACAGCTTATTTTGCTGTTAGTTGTCAATTCTTTGAGTTAGTTCTTTAGTTTAGTAAATTGCATATTGAGCAGTTCAAATAACTTGTGCTCCTTTAGGATCTCGATTACCCTAGACTTGAGATTTTAAAAACATCACAATACTGAACAGAATATTGAGAATATTGTGTTTATTTCTGCTATACATTATACTCGAAGCAGCTTGGTTGCATTGTTCCCCAGAATCTTCAGCCACACTTCCACTGCAGAGGTTGAGTTAATGAATCCCACTAATCAGTACCATCCTGGACAAGGGTTGAAGTTTCGTTAATCAGTGAAACACGATAAACCCTTATTACAGATAATGTAGCATAGTTGCCAGAGATAGATGGAAATACCAGTATTCCCAGGAAAACCACGGATTAGAAATATTAGTGGTGAACGGATAGCTGTTCAAGATGAGATAGCTTATCTTATATACAATGTGTAAGTCTGTAATTCTACAGTCCATTGGTTGTCCAAAGTGGTTAAGCGCGGTTTCTGGACTACTTTCAAACCGCAAATAAGGATTACGAATCCTGGCAAGATGAGCTCTTCCCCACTAATGTAGATAGTTTTTGTCTAAATCTACAGTCGGGTTTAGAGATGAGCTGCTTGACCTAATTGGCTTGTTCTCTAGCTGGAATTTTAAGTATGTGGTTCCGCGGATGTGGTACTAAACCAGAAGTTGGTTAGCTGATTGTACTTCACGGCTCGTGTTTTGTTCTGAACATTTGACCGGACTGTCCAGTGTCCAGTCAGTGTCCTGTGTGCTGCTAGAATATCTTCTTATAATAATACAGATCTTCTGTACTTGAACGTCTACTAAACGTCAGGTTTATAGTGATAAGTGATTGGTTACCAGAGCTTGATTGATTGTCTTATCATGGCAGAAGAAAACTCGCTTGTCAGTTTACTCGGATTGTGACAGAGATTCGTGCAAACTGAAGTGATGACAAGTTATAAATTTGTCAAAGTCGCGTGATATGATTCATGAAGCGTTAAACCAGTCTGTCAACGATGTTCTTTACTTTCAGCTTTTCAAGTACTTGCAGTGCAACCATCTGATGGTATACTAGGTGGAACTATCTGATCCAATCAGTGGGTTTCAGGTTCAGGTTAGAACAGCTGCACAAGAGCCTGCTTGAAATGTTACTGTGGAGTGAGGGCGGATTTAACGACGAATGAGACTGTTTTGTTGCTAAAAATAATATGTATATTGTCGGTCGAATAAAGAATTTCAAGGTCGGTAGAATTGCTATATTGTTTAATAATGGAATATTTTACAAAGCTTGAAAAATCCTATTCACGTAATATTGCTTACATTTTTAACACGTTAAATAAATGCAACAAGTAACATAATGTATTTTAAATCCTTATTATGCTATTTCTGATAGAACATTTTTTGTTAGTTGCAGTCACACTTGTGATATTTACGGTATCACAGTACATCTGGAGTCTAATTGGAGTGTTATTCTAGACCGCTTATCCCCCAGTTCCGTGGCCGGATATTATGCCAAATTATTAGACGGAGATCGTCTACTGATATTTCTCCGGATATTTCTCCGGATATTTCTCCGGTTTGCAGTTCCACGACCGCGGAGACCATCTACGGTAATTTTGTTGATTCTGTATGATTCTGTATGAATTAATCTCCGATAAATTCCCGGAGAGCTTCATCTCCGTCTAATACAGTAGACGGAGCCGGAGAATCATCTTCGGAGATGATCTCCGGGAAATGGACCTCTGTCTAATAATTTGGCATAATATCCGGCCATGGAACTGGGGTGCTAGAGCAAGAACCCGACAATCATCTCATATTATCATCAGACCTCGACTGTTCTTACTAGTACTACTTAAGAGTTCCCCATTTCCTAGTTTTTTGCAGAACATGCTCTATAATAACTGAGTTTCGGCAATACAACTCTAACGAGATCGTGGTATTTTTCGGGAGATGTTGCAGATAAAATTAGATGCTTTCCTGTTCAGTTCTGCATGTGACTCCGTTCTACATGCTCACTCGATCAAATGATCTTTATATAGAACAACACTGAATCGATCGATATAGGAAAAATATTTAATCCAATTATCATAACCTGTTCAGCTCATTTTTGTGGCTTTATTTTTACGGCCAAAAAAGAAATGTGGGGATATTTTCTTGTTAATCGGACATCTTACTTATAAGTTGTCGCCGGATCATTAGCCGTTAAATTAATCCTCGATTCTATGATTAGTCATTATCCAGTTACCCCTTATCAAACCTGCACAATACATTAGTGAATCCTAATTTATGAGTCTAGCTCTAGTCTGAGTATTATAACATTTTTATTGGCTCACTCTTAATACGCAGCAGCTATGTATGATAATGACCTAATGAAATCCCGATTAGGGTTTGCGCGATGAATTGTCCCTCCCTTCTCGTTTCGTTATCTTCATTCGATGGTTCATGAGATCTCCTCGACATCTTACTCCCCATTGGACTCCCAAGACATACACGCGACAGATTCACCACCGAACGAGACAGCCAGTCTCGCGACACATGATATAGCAGCTTCCGCGGGGATTAGAAATACAAACAGATCTATCGGTTACGTTTATCCAAATCAACGGAGGAGATTCAGCGCTGCAGCCACGCCCTTTCTTAACGAGGACCATGACGGTAAATAATTGCTAGCCTCGAGTGTTATTTTTGACATTTTGCCAGTTGTAACCTAAAGCTGTTTAACTGATTGTAGTTTTTATAATTACCTTTTAAATTAATGTTGTTTTTAATTTTGACTAAACGTGTTGTTGGTAGATAGTTTTTGTTTGGGCATCACACTTAAATTGTACATCAGACTTTAAAGCTAACTGGGCTTGTAGGATAATCCTACTATAAAATATGTCATCTCCATTTCTGAATGAGGCTAGTCGGGTCTCGGGAGCCAATTATAATTGTGGCTTTGTGTTTGGAGATTACTTAACTAAAGTCTGGAAAATATTTCAGTTACGTCCATACATAATACTCGATTTACAGGTTATATCATAAATCATGAGCCATACGCGATTGGGAGCACGTACAATTATCATGATCTAGCTTATCTGGAACACATCACTGATAACTCTACCAAATCACTGTTGAATCATATCTCTAAAATATTTATTTCTGAAATTATCTCAATGATCATTGCATTGATCGGTCAAATAATCATTTCAAATATCTTGCATGATAATTAAACAAATGACCACAATGTGATGAGAAATTAAAACGAGGTTTGCGGCATAAAAAGCATATAAAACGTATGACAATTATGAATAATAATTACAACTTAATACTTATTATAGGTTGCATGTCTAGGTTTTTTCTATTATGTCGAGGGGGAAAAGGTGCAGGAGACCACCTACTCCACGATGGCATCTGATACAATACAATACAATAATACTTATTATAAACGTATTATCACTAATTATAAGTTATTATAACATATTATCACAGGGGTGCCCGCAGGGCGGGGTAGCAGGAACCCTCTAATAAAAAGTCGGTCTATTGAGGTTGGGATGTTGTCAAAACTAGACGGTCAGGTATGTGCTAACAATTGTAGAATATTCTCACTTACGCACCTGTTATACACTAATACTGTATATATATCCTTCATATCCTGGATTAACGTTCTATCAGTACAGCTCACAACTAATCCCAACTAATCACTCGACTTTCTGTGATGTTCATTGTTCAAGTTTAGTTCAACAGGATATCTCTAAATCTCAGGACAGTTCTAACCAGGAATCGCGATTTTTCCTATTATTTGCGAAAAATTTTATGTATAGTCTTATGTATAGTCTGTTAAAAATCGCGGTATCGCGATTTTTGGGCAAAATAATCGCGATTTACTTTTGTCCCTGGTTCTAACGAATACAACTCAGGTTCTCCATTTCATAAACGGGGAGATTCAGAAACCACCTCACACTAAGAGTCACGCAGACAGGATCATCTTTAATGTGAGCGGGAAAAGATTTGAAACTACGTTTGAGTGCTTGAACGGGTAAGATAACACAAGAGATAAGAGATAAGAGATAAGAGATAAGATAAGAGATAAGAGATAAGAGATAAGAGATAAGAGATAAGAGCTGACCACTTAAGCTTAATAAACTTAGGGCGGAGAAGAATGCTATAACAATTTTAAAGTGTTTTGCTGTCTGCACCGCCCTCAAAATCAAATCACTTTGCAAATTACAATTCTCTAGTTTCTAAACAATCTTCCAAACCACTTTCACTGTACAAAGTTTAGTATGCAACGAGAATATGCTTAAAAACATAGTATGCATAATAAAAGTATATAATGCTCAATGTAAATTAATAATGTCGTCAGGCATACAATTAAGATTTTAGCTCCTTGGCTGGTAATTGGTATGGTTATTAATGCTTTTCATACAAAGTTACAACAAATTCTTCGTGTTATACATCCTGGGTTTGGACAGGATATGACCCGTTTAAAATATTTCCATCACGTTACATAATTCTCAATTAATGTAATAGATTTGTAGTGTTGTAATTAGTTTAAAATGATACTAAAAACTACTCCAGAGTTTCTTGTTTCACGTGTAACCCTCAGAACATTAATCGACTAAATTTGACAATGTTTTTAAATTCTGATCCTTCCAGACACGGTGGAATCGATAAGCCAACCTCCCTAGGCGTGAATAATCATTCATTACATTATATAGGGCGTCAATTGGGCATGGCGTCAATTGCTTTACCTTCACGAGAAGTTTTACAGCGACACCAATTATGCTGATCGAGCGGAAATATCAATAATTGATTTTAATCATATTAATGTGATGGGGTGGGCTTTTCTATTTTAATCTACTTAATAAACTAGGATAAGATCAACTTGATGAATGATGAGCAATCAGAAGTATGCTTATTTTGCGGAGATCATTACGTCATGAGATGCTTAATTAATATTATATTAAATAATATTATATTAATTAATATTATATTAAAATATATACACTATATTTGATAATTGATAAAGTCAGTCAATAATCATAACTTGAAATGGGCCAAGAAATATAAGCAACAATTCATGTCAAAATATTATAAATTTCGTACGTGCTTGATCTGAGGGTTATCGAATATTATTTTATAAAAGTAAAATACTATTGCAGCTTCCCTGATACCCTACTCGGCACAGAAGAGGATAGAAAAAAGTTCTATGACCCAGTGAGGGACGAATACTTCCTTAACAGAAACCAGGTAAGAAAAATTACAAATCACATTCTTTATAAACGAGTTAGTAACTAATTCTAAGTTCACATAACAAATCATTATCAAATCTCGGAAATAAGACAGTTTCAGGTCCTTTTGGGATCTGGAAATGAGGGGGGGGGGGAACCAACGGGCATTAATGGGCATTAATGGGCATTTATGGGCATTAATGGGCATTAATGGGCATTAATGGCAGTGGCAGTCTGTGCAAAATTTTAAAATACTGCCATTAATGCCCATACTTTTTTATTCGCTTTTGAAACTTTCAGGTCACGTCTATTTCATACCTACAATAAATATCCTGTCTACAGACCTTATTAAAGGTTCATGACGCCCAAAAATAACCCACCCTTATATTTTAATATATTGTTGTTATGTAACATATAACTAAGATTAGTCAAAACCGGACCTTTTTATCTGCTTCCTATCCCGAGATATTGGGAGATCTAATTATGCTCCCCACCGAGCTTGTGACGTCACGTTTGTGCCCACCTTGCTTGGTTAAAATAACACTGCTCCTACAGCTATAATAAGGTTGTTTCTGTTGTTTCTGACATAAATTAGGTTGCCCCCTCTCCAGGTGACCAAGAGCTTAGGGTAGCGCGACAATTGACCCCCCGACAATTGACCCCCCGACAATTGACCCCTTATGTAATTACACTGGGGTCAATTGTCGCAAAATCTAGGGTTTAGTACGAAAATTGACCCCCCGACAATTGACCCCCCGACAATTGACCCCTTATATAATTACACTGGGGTCAATTGTCGCGAAATCTAGGGTTTAGTACGACAATTGACCCCCCGACAATTGACCCCCTATGTAATTACGCTGGGGTCAATTGTCGCGAAATCAAGGGCTTAGTACGAAAATTGACCCCCGACAATTGACCCACCATGTAATTACACTTGGGTCAATTGATCGAGTTAGGGTCAGGATCCTAGGTCAGGGTCCTAGGTCAGGGTCCTGGGTCAGGGTCCTGGGTACGGTCAGGGCCCTGGGTTAGGGTTAGGGTCAGGGTCAGGGTCAGGGTCAGGGTCCTGGGTCAGGGTCCTGGGTTAGGGTCAGGGTCAGGATCAGGGTCAGTGTCAGGGTCAGGGTCAGGGTCAGGGTCAGGGTCAGGGTCAGGGTCAGGGTCAGGGTCAGGGTCAGGGTCAGGGTCAGGGTCAGGGTCAGGGTCCTGGGTCAGGGTCCTGGGTCAGGGTCCTGGGTCAGGATCAGAGTCAGGGTCAGGGTCAGGGTCAGGGTCAGGGTCAGGGTCAGGGTCAGGGTCAGGGTCAGGGTCAGGGTCAGGGTCAGGGTCAGGGTCCTGGGTCAGGGTCATGGTCAGGGTCAGGGTCAGGGTCAGGGTCAGGGTCAGGGTCAGGGTCAGGGTCAGGGTCAGGGTCAGGGTCCTGGGTCAGGGTCCTGGGTCCTAGGGTCAGGGTCAGGGTTATGGTTAGGGTCAGGGTTAGGGTCAGGGTCAGGGTCAGGGTCAGGGTCAGGGTCAGGGTCAGGGTCAGGGTCAGGGTCAGGGTCAGGGTCAGGGTCAGGGTCAGGGTCATGGTCAGGATAAAGGTTAGGGTCAGGGTCCTGGGTCAGGGTCAGGGTCAGGGTCAGGGTCAGGGTCAGGGTCCTGGGTCAGGGTCAGGGTCAGGGTCAGGGTCAGGGTCAGGGTCAGGGTCAGGGTCAGGGTCAGGGTCAGGGTCAGGGTCAGGGTCAGGGTCAGGGTCAGGATAAAGGTCAGGGTCAGGGTCCTGGTCAGGGTCCTGGGTCAGGGTCAGGGTCAGGGTCAGGGTCAGGGTCAGGGTCAGGGTCAGGGTCAGGGTCAGGGTCAGGGTCAGGGTCAGGGTCAGGGTCAGGGTCCTGGGTCAGGGTCAGGGTCAGGGTCAGGGTCCTGGGTCAGGGTCAGGGTCAGGGTCAGGGTCAGGGTCAGGGTCAGGGTCAGGGTCAGGGTCAGGGTCAGGGTCAGGGTCCTGGGTCAGGGTACGGTCAGGGTCCTGGGTCCTAGGGTCAGGGTTATGGTTAGGGTCAGGGTTAGGGTTAGGGTTAGGGTTAGGGTCAGGGTTAGGGTTAGGGTTAGGGTTAGGGTTAGGGTTAGGACTTAGGGTTAGGGTCAGGGTTAGGGTCAATTGTCGGGGGGTCAATTGTCGCCCACCCGAGCTTAGCCAGCAAGGCTATGGGTCATGCGATACTGATACAGACGAAGAAGGATCATACATCCCGGAAGGATCTCGCCTCAGTGCTCTAGTACCGATTGAAAGCTGGTGCTCATGTGGTCTGCGTATTAGATGCCATCTGAGATAGAGAACTACTACTGTCGAGAAAGCACGTGTCTCATGGTTTCGATTTTTCTATTAAATATGGGCATTAATGTGCATTAATGTGCATTAATGGGCATTAATGGGCATTAATGGGCATTAATGGCAGTGGCAGTCTGAACAAAATTTTAAAATACTGCCATTAATGCCCGTTGGTCCCCCCCCCCCCCCCCCCCCCGAAATGAGACTTTTCTTGCCATGTTTTTTAATTTTTTTATAAATCTTTCTCTCTTCACTTTTGTAAATGTATTGTTAAACCTGAACAACCGCTAAACAACCAGCTATACCCGTTCTAACCGCTCTAACCGCTATGATATCCAGGTAGCGTTTGACTCGGTGCTCTACTACTATCAATCCGATGGTGAGATCTACAGGCCAGCTAACATACCTGAAAAAGTTTTTAGCAGAGAAATCGAGTACTACCGGTATGTGTCCTACCTATATATGCACTTGTACTCGTTCAAATGTACCCACATTTTTAAGTCTGGGAATGGCAAAAATTTCGTGAATTCGTGAATATATATATTACATAGAATTTAAGTTTTTCCTGGATTTCAGGTAAAGTATCACGCTGAAGTCCTTTAATTTTCTTTACACAAATCATGCGCCAATAAATTAAAGCCCAACCCTCATGTCTCGTTGCATCAGTAACAAGAATTACACGGGTATAAAGTAAACACACGGAATTTCAGGCTGTTTCCCTCGAAGCCGGCTGAATCTATCGCCACTTCAACAATCCGACAAAACGGGTTCTGGAAGAGATTCCAGCTTTTACTATGGGTTTGTAAATTTAAGAGTTTGGTAAAATTGTAGTTAAATATAACTTTCTCTCTGTACTAATCTAATAAGTTAAGTCATCTGATGACCCATAAATAGGAGCCATACAACTTTTATTTTACTTATTATTAACACCATGATTTAACTTATTTTAAGTTATTAATGATTCGGTAACCTGCTAAATGTATTAGCGATTATCCGGTTTTGAGAGGTGTGACTGTGATTTAACAACCTCCCAACTTAAAAACCTCCCAACTTTGTTACCTTATAAATAAACTCAACAATAAAAAAATTATAGTAAACTGATCATCCCATCTAACCATAATATTGATTTCAAATACCTATTATAAACAAAATAAATAAAAATGGTCTCTGTTTCAGTTGTTCCTGGAAAAACCACAATCGAGCTCCGGAGCCCGTATTTGGGCCTCCCTCAACATCATAATAATTCTGATATCAGTCTGCAATCTTATTAGCGAGAGCATGCCTGTGTACAGGTAACCTATATTATATTGCTATTAATAATTAACTAATAACTAACTAATTAATTACTAATTACTAGTTAATCACTAGATAATATTATTATATTAGTGAGAGCATGCCTGTGTACAGGTAACCTATATTACTATATTAGTAACTTATATTAGATCATTTAATATTATCGTGTAAACTAGCAATCTACTTAAAGTAGAGTGTTAGAGTGCAGACGTCCGTAGGATTTGAAAAGCCACTCCTGCAATGATATCTTATTCTATATTAGATCGTTACACTTTAACAATGACACGTTTAATGCCGTTTTTGCTTCAAGTTAAATATAGATTTTTGCCTTGTACTATCACGGAGACCGATTAAATGCGGCTATTTTTAATCTCCTGATCATTAAGCTCAGTCGTCATAGAAAAAGTCAGATCAACTTTCTTTAAAGTTAAACATTAAAACCATCAAGGAGTCTAGAGTTTGATCTACTAGACCCTACCTTGACAGTTATGATATTGAGTATTAGAATTTAGTATTAGAATTATTAGCTTGAACTGATTTCTTATTTCACAAGACTCAAGAGTTTCTTACCTCAGGCATAATCCAGAGGCAGAAAGAATTTTCTTCTCCGTAGATGCGTGCTGCGTTTCTTATTTTACTATCGGTAGGTATTTTAAATGGATTATATTAAAGTATCAATTTATACTTGTAGCTTTAATGATGTTATGCAAATGAGAATTGTCTCTAAAAAATAATAATATTCATTTCTGGATAAAATTCTTGAAATAACTTCAAGATTAAAATTTCAAGAGTAAGGCATGAAATTGAAGATTTACATTTCCGCCGGAGAATAAACACGGGACCATCATTTTCAGACATATTATTAAGATTTAGCTCATCGCCCTCAAAAAGAAAATTCCTAAAAGAAGTATTAAACTGGTTCGACATGCTAGCGGTGTTGCCATTTTATGTAGAGCTACTTTTGGGGGAGAACTCCGGGACTGATGGCATGATGGCTCTCAGAGTACTCAGACTTTTTAGAATAACCAGGGTTCTCAAACTTATCAGGTAATATCCGTTATTATATCTGTATTTTCCTTTTATATTTATATCGTTAAGAATTATTATATCCTGCTACAGCGTTAATCTGTCTATCCTGTATCTGAGTATTTCCTGTTTGTCTATTACTTGTGCGCTAAAAATCTAATACGTTTATTTAGAGATATTTAGAGTTTATTTAGAGTTTCTCGCGATGGCTAAATTGAAGAATTCAGACTCCTAAATGCTAAAACTTGCGTTGAATTGAAAATAATGTACATTAAACCATATGCCGCCTGTCTTTGAGCCAATGCACATTGTGCATTGCACAATGGGTCTGTCTGGGGTCCCGTCTGTTTGCCTGTCTGCCTGTTTGTCAAAATATTTACTGCAACCAATAAAATAGGAAAGACAGCCACTCTGGAGTCGAGTGATGACATAAAGTTGCACAGCTCTCAACTTAACAAGTCCTTTTTGAAAGCTATATCGTATAAGTGTCGTTAAGGGGGGGGGGGGGGGGGGGGGGGGGGAGCCACTCCCATATTTGGTCCAAATTAGGCCCAATTTAGCCAAATACCCTGAACATGCCCAAAACCCAGGTTTATAGCCGGTTACCCCCTAATTGTGTGCTTGTCTCCTTGAGGGTGAATAAGGGACTTCAGCTGGTTTGACACTTTTATATTCGGAAAATCTGTATTGTGTTAAAAGATTGTGGGGTTATCAGCGTACCACATTCCAGGGATTTTACTGACTGACACTAAGAGCGTCTGGGCCAATGGGTCAAACATCGCTGTAGAGTGTAGGGCCCGTCTAGAACTGGTCAAGAAGTAAGAACCAGTCTTGAATTGGATTATACCCGATCTTTAAAACCAGCTTAACTCTTAAGTGTATTGAATCGAAATCATTTGCAGTAAAATCCAGTCGATCCGGACACACAGGTCACAGTCGGATCTTGCCACAAAACTTAATATACCCTATACCCTTTCCACCGTTTGTTGTAACTTTGTAAGGAAGTGTGTTCACCTGTGTACGTGTGTTTTAGTGTTTGTTAAGCTGTTTGTATGTCAGTGCGTTTAATTGTTTGCTTGTGATTGTCCATAACGACCCCCTTCTCCTCAGGCACTCTCAACAGATGATGTTGATGCTGCTGGTGTTAAGGAACTGTTTTAGTGAGCTGGGAATCCTCTTCTGTACCTGGTTGATGGGAGCCTTGGTCTTCGGTACTATCATGCACTACATAGAGGTAAAACTAAACTTGTAAAACTAAGCTTGTGAAACTTGGTATTAAATTAACCCACATATTATTTTAATTTAGGTGTTGTTATATTATTAGGGATATATTTGTTAACAACTTGCTATTACTCATTTGGTTAACATTTTAACCCGGGGTTAAGTATTGCAGGGGTTTTATGGCATTATAACCGTGTCATTAATCATACCAACTAAGATCTGACTATTTGTAAGACATGTTATGTTACCAATAATGCTTTTAAGAAAACTAATTATAATTTTCCCAGGTGGACGCCGATAGTGGCTTCGACTCAGTCCTCTATGCATGCTGGTGGGCCGCCGTGACCATGACAACCGTCGGCTACGGAGACATGACGCCACAAACAAACATCGGCAAAGCGTTCGGCAGCATGATTCTGTTTATCAGTATGATCTACATCGCCCTCCCCATGACACTTATAGTCAGCAAGTTCAATACTGCTCTGGAAGACTGGAAACAACAAGAACGAACTCAGATTTATTACAAGAAAAAGGCAAATGAAGAACAGAGTCAGAGTAATGCCGATCAAGAGAATGAACAAGCGGTTCAAGAGGCTTGATATTTTTTTGGGAAAAATAAAGTTTAAAGTTGCTTTACGGAGATGATTAACGCTGTGCTTGCCACGTTTAAAGAAACGTAATCGAGAGCTACTCTGTACTCGGAAGAATCGTGGCTGAGACCGTTACTCGGGAGCCATTTTGGTCGTGGTTGTCGAGAATTCCATGCAATGGATAATTAATACAATCAGGAAATCTGAGATGTTATCACCGGGCGACAAGATCAGATGTTTACGACATGTATGGATGTCAAGTTTGTCGTTCGATCATAAAATTAAACGTTGTACCAGAAGAAACTTTGGTGATCATTTAATTAATTATACGAATATTATTTCGGGTACGGATAATTATTGTATTCTTATCATTTTGAATAAACATACAGAGCGTGTTTTGAATACAAACATACCATTTGAGATCTCCAAAATTAACAAATATTGATAATCTAGCATACGATTGTGGCGTAAATTCCGGATGCGAATATATTAAAATATCAAGATGTTTTAAGAGTTGAGACATCCATCTATAACACTAACAGATCTCGTGCTGCCTACTCTATAACAGACGATAATTGTGCAGCCAAGTGTCAGTTGTCGTAAGCTCCTTGAAATACGCGGAAAGTCTGAAAGGCCGAAGCCAAGTTGTCCCATAATGTCCCTATAAAAATTATATATATATGTATATTATATTTTAGGCCCTATAACATTGGCCTACATTCTCATATCCAGTTTCTATTAAACTCAGTAGAGATTCCCACACGATCTGTTCCATTTCTTTAAGTTGAATATTTATATATGAAAACAGCATTTCAATGATAATTTTAGACTTTAATTTATTGACCATTGATATTTACCAACGATCAAACTCAAACCCAATTTGCGGTCTCTTGATCTTCTGTAAACACCGATTTAACGGGAATTTCATACTAATGTAATTTACCTACTCTACATTATAGCCGTTTAGATTTAAGGCTCATCAGTAAACAAAAGTCAAATATTCCATTTATGATATACACTATAGCTTACCCGTGTGTTATCCGTGCGTTATTAAATGTGTACTGTGCATAAAATTAAAGTGTCTGTTATGTCATTAAATTACCGAATCACAAGCACCCATAAGTACTGATAAACTGGTAAGACCTTTCTAAACACGCATTGTCCTTAATCAAGCAATATCCTGTTAGAGAAAATATTATCGTTTGAGTGGGAGCACCATGGATAATAATTGATTGATTGACAATGCCAACCTTGCAGAACATAATAATCAAAACCTTTTACAGCTTTGAGTCCAACATTCAGTTACATAATTACCCTCTTACAACTTTACAAGAAAATTACCTAGTTGCGATGCCATACAGTTACCACCTTGATAAATTCCTGTTGCCCAAGCAAAGATTCTCGGCTTCCCCCTTTAATCACATAATCCCTTATAAAACAATGAGTGAACAATAAGCGCTCGCGCTACAAGGAAATGGATTAAAAATAGAACAACAGCAATTCGGTAAATCTCGTGGGCAAGGCTGTCCCATTTCATACTTCTACAGCTAACTAGCTAATGGCAATGCTATTGTCACTGTTTCACTTAATTGAACAGTTCGTTTGCTTTTAGTTTATCAGAGAGAAATCCAAATAGCACTTATAGGTCAAAATTTCTATCGGCACTCATTGAGGTATGCTATGAGGACGGTTTTTTATCTGTCATTAAATGTTTTATATTATATAATTAATGAAAGGCCGGGGTCACAGGGAGGAGGATAATAGTAGTAGTACTTTTTTCTTTTTTGTGTTTTTGATGGTCAGTTTTTATTATCGCATCAAAAAACATCCGTCATAACAGGCACGTAGCCAGGCCCAGGGGGGGTTACCGTTTAACTTCCCATTTCTCATATAATTTGCACGTGGGCGGTCGTACATACAAAAAGAATCTTTCGAATTATAATATAGAGTAGAAAGCCCGTGGTATCAGGGATGAAGCTAGTACTCTAGTAGGTTTTTATAGCGTCAAAAAATATCCTACACAACCGAAGATACAGCCGATTAAAATGTTGTCGCTCGCACTAAACACAACGTAATATCAACAAATCCTATAAAGCTATAAAAATGCCGTTTGAATAATCTTTGCACATGCACGTGTATGTAACAACCCTCGTTACCATGGTTACTATGCAGCTTCCTATTTCTCTTTTAATTTGCACGTGGGCGGTCGTACAGTGTACAAAAAGAATTCTCTGAATTATAATACAGACTAGAAAACCCGTGGTCACAGGGAGGAAGCTAATAGTATTTTTGTTAGTAAGTTTAAATCACGTCAAAAAATATCCTACACATGAACCGAAGATACAGCCAATTAAAATGTTGCTCGTACTAAACACAGCGTAATATCAACAAAACCGATCAAAATGACGTTCAAACAATCATTGCACGTGCACGTGTGTGTAATAACCCTCGTTACCAAGGTTAATATGCAACTACCTATTTCTCGTCTGATTTGCACGTGGGCGGTCTTACAGTGTACAGTGTACGTACAGAAAGAATTCTCTGAATTATAAGTAAGACTAGAAAACCCGTGGTCACAGGGAGGAAGCTAATAGTACTTTTTGTTGGTAAGTTTAAATCGCGTCAAAAAGTATTCATCCCCACCGAGGATACATCCGATGAAAATTTTGCTCGCACTAAACACAGCGTAATATCAACAAAACCGATAAAAAAACGCCGTTTTAGCTAACAATCTTTGTACGTGCACGTGCGTGTAACAACCCTCGTTGCCATGGTTACTTTGCAACCTTTTGCTTTTTACCTAATTTGCACGTGGGCGGTCGTACAAACGTACATTGTACAAACAAAAAGAATTCTCTGAATTTAGGTAAGATACTTCCACAATAGTTCCGGTGAATCTGGTTTACTATGTCTCGTTTGTCTCACGTGTTTAAAATGTCTCGTGTGTCTCATGTGTTTCATGTGTCTCGTATGTCTCATGTGTCTCGTGTGTTTCATGTGTCTCGTATGTCTCACGTGTTTCATGTGTCTCGTGTGTCTCATGTGTCTCGTGTGTTTCATGTGTCTCGTATGTCTCACGTGTTTCATGTGTCTCATGTGTCTCGTGTGTTTCATGTGTCTCGTGTGTTTCATGTGTCTCGTGTGTTTCGTTTGTTTCGTGTGTCTACGGACCACATTTTAAGGAATTTATACCAGCTGCGTTGGTTTGGACATGTCAGTAGAATGCCTGAAGATCGGTTACCCAACTATTTACTTGAATGGAAACCCAAGCATGGGAAGAGATCAAGAGGCAGGCCTAGGAAGAGCCTAAATGATGTATTTATTGAGGATGCTGAGCAGAGATTGGATCGGAATGGACTCACGATTGATTGTATGAGAAAGTGAGAAGATTAGCTGCAGACCGAAAGGGATGGAGAAATGTTACCCGCCGAAGTTGTATAATACAAAGTAATGACGCAGTCGACACAGACTAATCCTTTTGGATGGAGATCTCGCCATGTATCATGTATGTATGTATAATCTACGAATCTTAATAATTTGGTTAAAAAACTAAAGTGAACAAGATTGACACTGGAATATTTTATTCTGCTATATTTTAGCAATAATATAAATAAATATTATTTATAACATACAATACACCGGATATACTTGATAAATACCGTTATAAACTTATTACAAATACAGTAACTCTAAGTTCACATTAATAAAAAACTGGCTAGAAACTTAATAGAAACAATAACTTGAACTAAGGATTTGTAGGATATAATCGAGTTAGTATTACTGTTAAATTGAGATATAATTGGAGGTGTTTATTGTTTAAATCATTTACTGCTTAATCTAGAACGATCGACGCGCGGCTGAATATGAAATAGTTGTACTTGTTTGAAGTTTAAGTCGCAACAAAATATAATATAACTGTTATTTATGTCATAAACGACCAAGATATCCAAGACCTCCTCAATATTTATATACACAAGGTAGTTTTAATAACAGTGTTTGTATTTCTTTATTGTTTAATGTTTAGTTTACTAGATTACTTGCTCATGTCACCATGGCTATAAATACATGTAATAATATCAAAAGTAACATAATATATCGATTATGGAAATTTACGATCGCAGTTTAATACTTTAATATGAAATCTTAGTTTGCTAATATAGCCCATCTTTCAAAATCAGCTTGAAAATCATCAAGATTTTGAGAAATGGAAGATTCAAAACCACCTCTAATATAATAGCCCTGCATAACGACCTGTCAAACCCAATTTACAAACTTAAAACAGTTCAAGTCCAAAAAACCAACCACCCGTCACTACAATAAATACATCTGTGCGATCAAACCTGTCATCGTTCATCTATTTGAACTCCTCGAAATTGGTGTGTCCGGTATCTTTAGCATGTTGCCTAGCAACCTTCTCTCCTGCCATTCCAATACCACACGTGCCGCATTTTAGGGTAAAGTTCGCTAAATCAGTGTAGTTGTGTGCCTGAGGTAGACGAGTCAGAGGCCTGCTTGAACAAGACAATTTGCCCTAATTTATATCAAGAAATATCAAGACCACAGAAATAAATTGGTCGTTATAACTTATCGGACTTTATTTTAACGGACATTAATTGTACGCTGCGGGCCCCAGCGTTCATTTTAATGTCCGTTCAAATTAAGTCAGACAATATAGTTAAATTAAATACATTAAATGAATGCCTTCAAGTGTTCATGTTTAATGTCTGTTCAGAATTCATGGAATTTCCGGTCAAATAACGTCCGATTTGACATACGTTGCATGCCACTCTGATATTTGGGATACGTAACATGTATCAACGTCCGATAAGGTATAAATACGTTTACCTTTTTAGCATTAGCAGCAACCAGCATGGCGGCAGCTTCAATATCAGAGTCTTGAAGAGGAAATACAGTTACTTGTCCTGTAGGGCTGGGTTCGTAGAGCGGGTCGTAGTGGATACCTGCGGTTAATCTTAGTTATATATATATCTAGTACTACTACTTACTAATTACTAATTAATTACTAATTACTAATTTATAATCTAGTACTAATACTTGTCCCTGATTTCATTGATACAACTCGACTTGGGCACTAGTTTCCGTGACAGCTCCATCGCCGATAAACTATTAATTAATCCCAGTTGTAGCATTAAAAAATGTAACATTACGTATAGATTACTTTTGTTTAATCAATTTGTTGATGAGTTTATTGATTTTGAACTATATACTGGTAACCATATCACTACGAATGAACCGTTATCTCAATACACAGTACATGTATCATGTAAAATGAGCTCAAACCAGATTCGGTATCATCATTAGATGGGCGGTAGTGACATCAATGTTGGCCTGGTGTAACAGTCTGTGTAACAGTGTGTGTAACAGTGTGTGTCACAGTGTGTGTAACAGTGTGTGTAACAGTGTGTGTAACAACTAACAGTGTGTGTAAACTGTAAAATTATCTAGATATTTGTACAGCAGGCCAGCAGGGCCCCGGTTAGACCAGACAATAGCTCAGACAGTTAGAGAATAGAGAGTCTATTTACTTTGAATACTTTGGAGATAATCGTACATTCTTGTACGGGGTTATCTAATAGTTTGACAGCCCTTGCAGCATTGCTGCTGCCTTATTCATACTCCAGTCCAGCAAAGAATTACCATTCAGATTGTCTCGGGGACAATTGTCTCTGGGGACTATTAGAGAACAACGGGGCATGATTAGATAACATTAAAAAACATGATCTCGCCGGCAAGCCTTATTAATGCTGCTGTTCTTCATATTGATGTTCTGCCAGCTACACCAACAAGCTATGGTTAACAAGGGCACCACAAAATAAAGCAATAGCTAAGACAGTTAGATACTGGATAGTCGGATTGTCCCGGGGCACAATTAGAGAACACTAAATAAACATGATCTGCATCCTTCCCGGCAAGCTCGCTTTATAGTGTTGCTGTTCCTCATTTATCTTCTGCCCCCTTTTATCATGCTCCTTTTGCCACCTACATGATATAACAGCTAACTTAAAGGAGCTAGGGTAACCGTAAAGGTGCAGAAACATATTTTGGTAGTTCCCTAGATCTGATGAGAGTTGTATTTGGGAGAGAAAAAGGCCGTATCCAGTACGCAGGATATTTTTATGTAGCAAGGCCTACCGGACAACTGAACCCAGTTTGGACTTTTTCTAGACAGGGTAGCTTGGGAAAATAATCTTAAACCCTACCTAATTAACTTTAAAACGAAAACTGAACCCAATCGTCAGTTAGAAATAACTAACAGATAAACAGGTTTCCAAATACCGCTCTAGTTTAGCTGCTGCCTGGTTTCTAGTTATAATATTCAACAAAAATATATACGTCTTGTCAGAAAGTAGAGCGGACACCAAAGGGATGCACTTCTTATCGATGACAGCGTGGATAGAGTAACTCTGTGGGATATCCTAAGGCAGACATATTACGTTCCATCGGCAATCCAAATAGGGTTGTCTCCGAGGATTTTGAGGTTCCGAGGAGTAGAGAAGAGTATCATTCTGGATCCATCGTCAGTCACTCCGTCAAAGAGGACGAAGATCTCCTCTCTCAGTGAAGTCTGGCAAGTAGGTGGTAGGACGAAGTCTGTTGAGATAGGTGCTTCGGAATGATTGGCAGATCCGGACTTTGTTGCTCGTGATCTTTGGACAATTCTCGCGAGGGACTCTAGTTTTGGTAGTTCCACGTTGATTTCGGGTGGGCATGTACGGCTTCGGTGAGGAGGTTTTGTGTTGCTGAGAGGTGTTGGTCGGCAGCTTTCCGCTTCAATTCTGCTCTGAACTCTGCTTTCTCAGCTACTAAGACACGGTTTACTGGTGTTTGTGAGTAGTGAGCTACTAGTTCACTAATGATGCAGCTTGGTAATATTGACCCCAGGCAAAGACCTGCAACCTATTCGCCCCATTCACCCAGCCTCATAATATGGCCAAGTCAACTGGGGATCTTACCCTTTTTAAGTGAGTGGGCTTACCTCAACTAATGGTATTGTAGTAGCGAATAGCCTGTTGTGATCTGTATTCTCGGCTTCCTCCTTTAATCACATAATCCTCCCGGCTGTTAGAGGGTCATTACACCATTACGCCGCAAACACTAAACTAGGTCCAACTCCAAAGAAATGGAATAAAAATAGAACAACAGTGCAGCAAGACTCTTTTATTATTTCTACTGTCTCACGCTTAGTTTGCCAGTTCGTTTGCTTTTAGTTTATCAGAATGAAATTCAAATACACTTGCCCTGAAAAAAATGGGAGCTCTAGCTACACTCAGTTGACTGAGATATTTATAAAGATTATAAACCCAGCAAATGATAATTCTATGGGTATTTGGGGGCGGTAATTTTGGAAAAAAAGGCTCACAGATCCATTTTGTTAAAGCCTTTTCAATTTTAGAGTATCATGTTGACTAGTATAGACTAGTATAGACTAATATAGACTAATATAGACTAGTATAGACTATTATAGACTATTATAGACTATTATAGACTAGTATAGACTAATATAGACTAGTATAGACTAATATAGACTAGTATAGACTAATATAGACTAGTATAGATACTCTTATTTCTAGAGCCCCATATCAACAGGACTAATAGAGTCCCATAGAGTAATAGCATTGCCGTACGACTGTAATAACACCCTTGTCAATTGTCATCATCTTACTATAATATATAAAGCGAGACGATATATGAAACTATGCGTGGTGTAGCTTGTTGGGATAGTATAGGAATTCTAGTTCCTATAGTTGGGAATGAGGTAGTTGTCTGTTCACAGATCGCCCTCTAAACTTACAAGGAAATATTTCCTGTATATCCTTGTTATATATACTATATTAGCAACATTTGACAAAGCATAGTGTGGAGTGAGCTATGTTCCCATAGAGAACCCGGTGGATGTCCTTGCTGTACGGCAGTGTTAAACAAAGAACTGAAACCTAGGTGTTCCGTTCAGGTTAGGCTATCCACTCCGATAATCATAACCGATAATTGTCTCCGATAATTCGTTTAAAAAAGTTATCTGTTTATCTAGATAAAACATATTTTTATCGGTATAAAAATTCACTAGATATTATCGAAAATACTGCCACAATACCGTACAATTGTAAAGAACTATTAGTGTTTTTGCCTTCCCAAGTAATCCAAGAAACAGTCCCAAACGTCTTCTAGTATAATAGAAGAGGTAATTTACTTAGATGTGAGCTTAAGAGGTTTATTTACATTTGTATACCTATGGAACTGTAGAACTGTATGAACTGTTGAAATCCAGAGAAGGTTATTGACATTGTTCTCTTGTATTGAGGTACTGGCGTTTTACCTTATAATCATTCTGGAGATGGGAACGAGCATGTTACTGTTAACAAGAGTCAAAAATACCGGCAGGGCACTCAATTGAATTCCGTAAGTGTTCTGGGCGTGAAACATTGTCTTCAGGAGAAGGAATCTGTTGCTCCAAGTTATCAACAGAATAAGAAAACGGTTCACTGAATCACTTTAAATGCTTTACTGTTTCGAGGAGATTTGGTATTTGGTGCACTACTGTTCTCAGGAGAAGGAAACCGTTGGTCTACTGTTTTGAAGAGAACTAGTACACTACTGTTCTCAGGAGAAGGAAACCGTCTGTCTACTGTTTTTGAAGAGAACTGGTACACTACTGTTCTCAGGAGAAGGAAACCCTAGTCCCTAGGTCTACTGTTTTGAAGAGAACTGGTAGTACACTACTGTTCTCAGGAGAAGAACACCGGTGGTCTACTGTTTTGAAGAGAACTATTGCGTTACTGTTCTCAGGAGAAGAAAAACGGTGGTCTACTGTTTTGAGGAGAACTACTAGTGCGTTACTGTTCTCAGGAGAAGAAAACCAGTGGGGTCTACTGTTTTGAAGAGAACTACTGCGTTACTGTTCTCAGGAGAAGGAAACCGTCTGTCTACTGTTTTGAAGAGAACTGGTACACTACTGTTCTCAGGAGAAGGAAACCCTAGGTCTACTGTTTTGAAGAGAACTGGTAGTACACTACTGTTCTCAGGAGAAGAACACCGGTGGTCTACTGTTTTGAAGAGAACTATTGCGTTACTGTTCTCAGGAGAAGAAAAACGGTGGTCTACTGTTTTGAGGAGAACTACTAGTGCGTTACTGTTCTCAGGAGAAGAAAACCAGTGGGGTCTACTGTTTTGAAGAGAACTACTGCGTTACTGTTCTCAGGAGAAGGAAACCGTTTGTCTACTGTTTTGAAGAGAACTGGTACACTACTGTTCTCAGGAGAAGGAAACCCTAGGTCTACTGTTTTGAAGAGAACTGGTAGTACACTACTGTTCTCAGGAGAAGAACACCGGTGGTCTACTGTTTTGAAGAGAACTATTGCGTTACTGTTCTCAGGAGTAGAAAAACGGTGGTCTACTGTTTTGAGGAGAACTACTAGTGCGTTACTGTTCTCAGGAGAAGAAAACCAGTGGGGTCTACTGTTTTGAAGAGAACTACTGCGTTACTGTTCTCAGGAGAAGGAAACCGTCTGTCTACTGTTTTAAAGAGAACTGGTACACTACTGTTCTTAGGAGAAGAAAACCGTTTGTCTACTGTTTTGAAGAAAACTGGTGCACTTCTGCTCCCCGGAGAAGAAAACTGATGCTCTAATATTTTCAAAAGAAAGGAAGTGGTACTTTAAAAAGATTACTGGTAAACAGTAATAAAAGTCGACAATTAGTTTTTGCGAAATTTGGAAAACATTTTGGCTTTGGCCTTCACCATAAAAATTATCGGTTTTATCGGTTTTATCTAGATAAAACCTAAATCTTTATCTGTTTATCTAGATAAAAGATTTCATACCGATAATGGATAGCCTAGTTCAGGTCCTTCACACTCTGCTTTTGTCTAGTTCTAATGTACCGTCACAATAGTGACTTTAATATATCTAATAGGGGGGGGGGGGCCAATGGCATAAAATGGCAT